CCGTCTCCCCCTCCCCCTCTTCCTCCCCCTCTCCCTCATTCACCCCTTGCTCACATGCCCGAGGTTGGTGCTGGCCTTCACTGGGACATCAGTGGGTTCTCTCCTGGAACATCCACACATGGCCTCTTCATGTGGCCTGGGCATCCACACAACATGGCCCAGATTTCAAGGGGCTTGTTTGAGAGAACTGGGTGGATACTGCGTCTTTTTAAAGATTTAGTCTTGGAAATCATGCAGCTTCCCTTCTGCAAGGGTGTGGCCACACGCCCCCCACAATCCTAGGGGGAGCGGTGAGGTCGGTGGAGAATGTGGGCCTGGCCTGGAGCGTGTTTGGGGCAGATCTGTGGAAGGACAGTGTTGTTGAGAACATGTCTAACGTCTGTCTCCTCCAGTCCCACACAAAAAGGTTTTTCTAAAACACAGGTCAGATCGTGTTGCTTTCCAGCCGGGAAACCTTAGGTAGCAGGGAGGGGTCCGAGGCGGCTGGGCCTCTTCCCACCCTGAACCTCGCGCTCCTCGGGCCCGGGTACCTGCCATGTGCCCCTCGCAGGCCTCCGCTGCTGCACCCTGCTGTTCAGCATGCGGAGCTTGTCAGCTTCGGCTGATCTGGCCTGGACGTGAGAAAGAAAAAGGCTGTTTGCGTCTGAACTTCACAGGAGCTAAGTTGAGTTCTCGCCTGCAGCTCCCTTCTCCCCCCCCCCCCATCTGGGACCTTTATCTTTAGACAGGGTGCCAATGAAAGGTGAAATTGGTCTAAATAAAAAAAAGCTGGTCTGGTGTTTGCTTTTAGCTGTTCACTTGCCAATTTCCATTTTTAGGTGAGTCCACTGCCTGGGGCAGATGACACAACCTTTGATCCCACCTCTGCTTTGTGATCAGAGCGGCTCACTGGAGTCTCACTCTTGTGTTTCACCACCTCCCACCTGCAGGGACCCCACCTGCAGGCTCTGTGCCAGCCGTGTCTGCCAGGGTCTTGGGCTGCTGTCCTGGGCAGTGCAGTCAGGAGGTCTCAGCTGGGGTGGGCTGCTGGTGGGCGAGGGACGGGAGCAGGGCGCCTTGGAATTCAATCATCACCCCTGACAGGCGCTGCTGGGCTGGGCCACCTTGGTGGGATGCAGCACTGTCTCCCTGTTTCTCACCCTCATGTATTGAACCAGCTGGGGGGGAGTGTCCTCTGGAAACAGCTTGACCAAGCAGCCCTGGGGCTGAGTGGCAGCCAGCCCTGCACACAGACCAGCGTCCGGGGGAGCAGAAGCAGACTCTGGTGACAGCAGATGCCACCTCTGACCTTAGCAGTCAGATGAAGATGTGGTGGCTTCTCATTTTTGGCCCCCAATTTCCTCCCTGTATTCTAAGCACTTATTTGGAAAGGGGGCAGGTTTGGAGAAATAGAGTTTAAAGGTGGGTTTCCTGATGCAGACACCAGAGTCTGTGGTCTTCCTGTCCCGACCGTTTTTTAAAAAGAAATGCAGAAGGGCTGAGTCACGCTGCTCATCTGTGTTAAATCGTCTGTTTTGTCTTCCTTTCTGTCTCTCTAAATGTGGCTGCAGGTAATGAGGATGGGGAAGTCAGAGCCCCTCCCCGGCGCCCGTGTCTGGGTAGGTACCACCCCGCATGAGGCCGCCCGCTCGTGCTTCATCTCGCGGCTGCTTTGTCCCCCTGTCACCCCATCACCCGCGTTGCACCCTGACCATGCATGCGGCTCATTCCGCCCAGTGTGGCCACAGCTCCCGCCGACTAACCCGCCGTCGCTGCTGTTCCCAAGCATGAAGGAGTCCCCAGGCGCCTGCCCGTTTCTGCGAGTGGGTCTTAGAGAAGGAAGCAAGGAGATGATCTGGGTACAAGTTCTGGAATTCTTACGTTAAATTTATTCTCAGTATTTAATTCTCTGATGCTACGGGTTTGTTTTCTTGACCTCATTTGGGATTGATTGCTACTGTGTAGAAATAAAATTTACCTTTGCACAGTGACCTTGTATCCTGCCACTTTGATGAAATTGCTTGTTAGGTGTCATAGCTTTTCAGTGGACACTTGAGGATTTTCTATATACGAGGTCATATCATCTGCTAGTATAGGGTGGCCCCAAAAAACGTGTACATACTTCGAATGACTGCAGAGTCAGTGTTTATTAACATACAGTTCATTTTCAAAATTGAGTGAGTTACCAGCTATCAAAGTGTGTTTATGTTTTTTGGGACACCCTGTGCTTTTCATTTTCCATTCCAGTCTGGCTGCTTTTCATTTCCTTTCCTTGCCGAGTGGCCCTGGCCAGCGGTGATGGGGTGGGGGGGGCAGGCTTGTCTCGTTCCTGGCCGTCGTGAGAAGGCGGTTGCTCTTTCTCCGTTGAGCAGGACAGATTTTACACAGATGCCTTTTTTTAGGCTAAGCAAACACCCTCTGCACTGAGTTTGTTGAGTGTTTTTGTCATAAAAGGGTGTTGACGTTTGTCAAATGCTTCCTGTGTCTGTTGAGATGACCACGTGATTTTCCCCTTTATTTCATTATTATTCTGTGTAACATTGATTAATTTTTGTATGTTTTACCAACCTTGCAGTTTTGGGATAAATCCCACCAGATCAAGATGCATAATCCTTTTTATAAATTGCTAGACTCTGTTTGCTAGTAACGTGCTGAGGACTTTTGTGCCGTGTTCATAAGAGACAATGGTCTCTGTTCCCGTGGGATGACAGGTTTTAGTATCGGGACGGCACTGGTCATGCTGTAAGCGGGGAGTGGTTCGCATTCCCTCCACTCCTATTTTTTTTGAAGAATTTGTGAAAGATTTGTATCAATTCTTTATTAATTTAAAAATTTTAAATTGACATACGTACAGCATTGTGTAAATTTAAGGTTACATGTTAATTTTGTTCATTTATGCGTCGCATTGTGATTGTCATCGTAGTGAATCAGCACCTCTATCGAGTTGCATAATTTCTTTTTGTGGTTGGAACACTTTTAGTGTCTAAGCGAGCTTGATGGTTATAATGCAGTGTTGCTGGCTGTGTTTCCTGCACTGTACATTGTATCTCCCGGGCTTGTTTACTGCTCTTTGCAAGTTTATCAGTTCTTTAAATGTTTGGTGGATGTGCCCAATGAAGCCTCCTTGGCCTGGGCTTTTCTTCGTGGGAAGCATTTAAATTACTAATGCAGCCTCTTTCCTTATTATCTGTCTATTCAGTATTTCAATTTCTTCCCAAGTTAATGTTTATAGTTTTTTCTTGGAATTTGTCCGTTTAACCTAAGTTACCTAACTTGTTGGGTTACAGTTGTTCTTAGTGTTCCCTTGTAATTCTTTTTATTTCTGTGAGGTTGGCCGTGATGGTCCCTCTCGCTGTTACTTTAGTAATTGGAGTCTCCTCTCGCTCTCCTTTTTCTTTCGGTCATTCTAGATACATATTTGTCAATTTTACTGAGTTTTTTCCAAAGAACCAGCTTTATTGTTGTTGATCTTCTCTGTTGGTTTTCTGTTCTGACTCGACGCTGATGACAGCAAATGCTTAGTGTCTGTTTCCTGAAATCAGGGACTTGCACTCCGTAACCACACTGAATGCCGACCGGAGCAGCTGACCCGTGGCCGCCGTGACCCCAGCAGGTGTTGTCTCCTCCTGTGTAGGGAAGGGTCTGGCCAGACCTGCCCTTGCACTTCCTTGTTTTCAGCAGTAGGGCCCTGACCCAGGCTTCCAAGGGTCAATTCCAGGCCAGTGGTCCTGGGTTCCTGGGCCGCTTTCCGTTCCCAGCGCCTCTGCCAGGGCGTCCTGGGTGCGGCCTCCAGCTCCCACCTCTGGGAGGTTACTCCTCCTGGGAAGCACTGTTCCTGGGCAGCACTTTGAAAGGATGTACAGCCCTGTTCTCCTCAGGTTTTTGCGACATTCCCCTGTTCAGTGTTAGCAGCAAGGACGTCTGGTTGGCTTGCAGGTGGGTCTCCGTGTCCTGCCACCTCGAAAAGGTACAGACATCTGGAGCAGCCACTGCCTGGCCCAGGACACTGCCCCTTCCCCTGGGAGGAGGCATGATGGCAGCTTGGGAGGCCAGGATAGTGACCAGGATGGAGCCTGGGGCCTGCCAGGTGGGAGGTGACTTGTGTGGCTAAGGCCACGTGGAGGGCAGGGCCAGTGCCAGTAGGTCCCCAGGTCTCACTGGGTTTGGTTACATTCTCCGTAAACTGGTGCTGATGCAGGTGCCTCGCTGTGGGACCGAGAGAGTTGGTGACCATCTCACCCCAGCGAAACATCACTGTTACCAATGGAGCTGCAGCTGGGGAAGTCCAGCCCTGGGGTGGGAAAGAGACTGAGGTGGCTCCAGTCTCGTGGACTTTGTTTTTAAATATAGCTGACGTCGACCACTCAGTATGTACATTTTAGGCACTGTTTTGTCTTCTATTTGAAATTGCCAATTCATTTCTTGCATGAGAGGACTGTGATTTTCCCTGCTTTGTGGTTGAGGAAACTGAGGCACAGAGAGGTTGGGTCATAGGCAGGCAGCCGCACAGCAGTAAATGGTCAGCTGGGGCCCCAGAGCCTGGTTAATGCCAGCCTGTGACTCACTGTCCACCCTCGAGAGCCCTGCCACTTCCTTGGGATGGGCTCTCACCATGGGCACAGACCGTGCCCCCTACTCTGCCTGGACGGCAATACTGCCTGGCTGCTCTGCCAACTGTGCCCCTTCCCGGCTCCATCAGGGACCCAAGGGGGTGGCTGTGCCTCCTGTCGTCCTGGTCGACCCCTCACTGGCGCCAGGGCCGGGCCTGACCAGGGAGCATTGTCTCCTCCCCTGCTGCACACAGAACCTGGCAGCATGAAGCTTGTGGCCTGCACATGGAGCGAGGAGGCAGGCGGGGCCACCAGCCTGCAGGTGGGGCACGTGGCTTCCCACGAGGGAGGGAGGCTCCCACCTCTGCTGCCACAGTGGCTTTTCCTGAAGCTGCAGCGTTGTTTGTGCATCTGCCACAGCCTGGGAAACACCAGGGATTTCCCTCAGGGCAACAGGGTGGGTGGGGATGTATTTACAGGCCCTGAAATTCTGGATGACCTGGGCAGAACCCTGGCTAGGCCAGCCGGCACCTTATTAATTCTGGACAGCACCAGAATTACCCTGTGGAAGTGCAGTGCCAGCCAGGAAGCTGGCCATGTGCGTAGTTTCCTGACAGCATGTTAGAAAACTGGAAAGAAACGGTGAAATTATTGTTAATCTGCTTTTCACCAAAACATGTTAACGTGATCCTGTAACCACTCTAACAATTATTAACAGGGTATTTTCTGTTCTATTTCTGCATCAGGTCTTTGAGGTCAGGGGTGTGTTCTGCACTCAGAGCATGTGTGCCAAGTGCCTTGTTCAGCTCTCAGTGCCCCTCATGGGTCAGCCCCCCTGCAGCCCTGCAAGCTGAGTCCCCGAGCGAGGGGGCGGCAGGCGGCTGTCAGAGGCACGTCTGAACCAGGTCTCGGGGTTTGGACTCATGTGGTTTTCCCCTTAGTTCCTGACAGGGACACTTTGCCTGGCTGTTGCTTTGGATGGTGATTTTTCAGGTCTCCAGGGTCCCTTCCCCTGCTGGCCCCACCTTTTTCTCAGTGTAGTTAATTTCTGCAGCTGTGGTGACCCTTTGCCAAGACCGCCAGTGTCCTCTTGCTGCGGTCGCTGAGCTGCCTCATTAGGAGGTTCACCCGTCTCTCCTTGTTGGTTTGAACACACAGAAGAAGGGAATGTGGGAATCCTTTGCAGTTGCCAGCTGCCTAGAAGGGGTGAGTTACTTGGGGTCTGCGGTCCCGGGCGTCATGAGGGCCCTGACCCCTGCAAGTGTGATGTGGCTCCCTCCTCCCTGTCCCTGACACTCTGACCTTTCCAATCCCCACTTCCCTCCTGTGTGTTCCATTGGGATTCCCCAGAGAAGTGGACATGGGTTAATTTTGCTGCTCGCACCTCACCACCTGGAATTCCCCATGGTTTTTATTGGGGTCTGGAGGTAGCTCCCATGGGTGGCTTGCATGGCGGGCGGGTGTGTAGGTTTGGGTGGGTGTGGGAGCCCCCGGGGCCTGGGAGCTGAGCTCGCCTCTGGATGGGTGGGTCCAGGCTCTCAGGGCTGACAAGTTTTTGTAGCGAGCTCCCCCCCACCCCCAGACTCACAGACAAGGTGTGGGCTCCAGCTCCTGCTCTGGCACAGGGTTTCCTCTTTCCTCTTATCTCACGTCCCAGCTGTGAGCGTCACAGCCACCACCCGAGGCATGAGGTCGCTGTGGCAGTTATGGGCGGCCCTCCTGGAACCCGGCCCTCTCCTCCTCCCTGGGGTGTGACCCTGGTTAAGGAGGAGCTGCTGGCCATGTGGCTACCGGCTGTCCTGCCCTAATTATTGGTCCCAATCCTGAGAGGCAGCTTTGTGCCATGGACCATGGTGTGCAAGCCCCTCCCTGGGTGGCCTTTCAGGACAGTCTCAGCATTTACAACTTCCCCCTGGTTCCGGGCGTCTGGGGGCCAACTGGGCTGGGAGGGCACAGGACCTTGGGGTCCATAGGCAGCTTCTGTGAGAGGAGAGTGAGCCCTCCGCACTCTCGGTGTCTCTAGGGGTACGTGGGGTCTTGTGAGAACAAGGACACCTGAGGGTGGGGTATGTGGAGGCCTCATGGCTGTTCGTGTGGTTGCCACGGGGTTCACGCCACTGTCTCCAGCGGGTTTTTACCGTTGCCATGGCCACCGAGAGCTGCCACTGTTGGGGAACCACCCTCCTAGTCAGTGACAAGGGGCTGGACCAGTGGAGGGGTGTCCTCTTGCTGCTTTGGGAACTGGAAGGACTTCACCTGAACTGACAGGCACAGGCCACACGGGGGTGCTGGCGGGCTGCCTGGTATGGAGCCCAGGGTTGCATAACCTGTCTATCAGTGGGGGGCGCCTCCAGTCCTAACGATGAGCCCCTGGAAACCACCTGTGAAGCCAGGGGCTCCTGCTGGACGGGGCTTTCTTGTGCTCCCATTGGAGCAGCCAGGGCTCTGTTGCTCTGTCAGCTCGGGTGGAGACACCCGATGGCTCAGCTAGGGAGGCGGGGCCCCGCGCTCAGGAAGGAATTATCCCCAGATGTGCCCCTTTCCCATCCCATCCTGGGTCTCAGCCCTCAAGGGACATCTGGTCGGACCAGCCCCACGGTGTGGCCTCTCCTTCCATTTAGAGAAAAGGTGGTCAGTGATGACCCCAGATGGCACCCTGGGGTGTGGAGGCCTATTGCCTGACCTCGAGTCCCCCACTATCCCTCTGTTAAAGGGGCATCCCTACCCTATGGACATGGGAGCAGCCTACCCAATGCTGGCATGGGGTTAGGGCCCGTGAGGGATTCACCGTGGCCCCCAGGAACCAGGTGTCTCATCCCCAGACCACCTGTGTAGAGAAATGGAGACTCGTGGTTAATCTAAAGCTCGG